TTGCCCCTTACTCCAAATCAGCAAGCTGGACACATTGCACTTGTATTTTCATAACAAACACATATTCTGTAATACCTTATATTGTTATAATCTTTGCAAGTGCAGATCTAGGTTACCTAGGTTGATTGTTTCCCTTGTTTATTATTGTATGACAGCTGACACCAATTTAATAGTAGATCTAAACAATGAACACAAAGATTGTTCCACTTCCACTACAGAGAATGGACAGAAATACCCAGCTGCCATATTCAAAATTCTAATATTGAAGCCATAGTTCTCTCCTTCTATATAGCAAGTTTAATCCCCTACCCCCATTTATGAGTATGATGGAATAGTTATTAACATGATTAAATCACATTCATGACAGTTTTCTTTAAGAAAGGGAAATTATCTTTGGTGGGCCTGATGTAAACATGTAAGCTCTTAGATAGGGCTGAAGTGTGGGGAACCTAAGGGAGATTCTCCACTTATGCATTTAAAGACAGCTAGGCCACTAGGAACAGAAAGAAGAAACACAAAAACAAGGATTTCAGTTCTATATTTATAAGGAACCGAATTCTACCAACAGGCTGAATGATCATTTGAAGTGGATTCTGTTATAAACCCTGCAGATGATAACTCGCTCTGACTCACCCCTGGGAGTCAGACTGTGGACAGAGAACCAGTTGTGTTTTCCTGTATTTCTGACCTACTGAACACATGTACACAACAACAATATTTGTTTTATGTTTTTAAGTTTGTGGTACTTTTGTTATACAGACACAGAAAGTGAATAAAGGAATACAATGGTGTCCCAGTTGAATGTGATTTGGGATTTTTTTTCAAAGAGAATTTTCCTAGTCACCTTTCATTTAGCATTTCTCTACAGCCTCAATTGGCTTCCCCACCATGAAGTTATTGCACTGAATGTAACTGGAAAATGCAATTTTGTCAGATTAAAATCTTCTCTCATATCACTTAGAATTATCTCTTTCTTTCCTCCCTCACTGCCAGCTTAAAATGCAGAGATGTATGGATCTTGAGTACAGTATACACATTCTTTGGTTGGAGAATCAAATAAAAAAATACAAATTTCAAGAATTAAAGAAAACACTGTATATTTTGAAGTAACTCAAATGTTTCATTCATTGCCTCTGGCTGTCTGGAAACAAGTAACCTTGACATAACAGCTGAAGAAAAAGGAGAAGCTGTGTGACCACAAATACTTGAATGTGTTCATATCTTTTATCAATAAACATTACTAGAATGTAATGCATTTGAATTCACGTTTTTCCTGCTGGAACCCAGCATTCTTCCTTCTGTTTCCTGATGCCACAGCTGGATCTTATTACCAGTGCAGGGTGTACCGTGGGAAGCACGATGGAAGTTTTTAGATTACAAAAGAGGACTGCCCTTGGCTTTGTTAATTGATGTCTAGGTTATGCAGATTGGCCACTGTGTGGTTATACAATGTGGTGTGAACAAGATTATATGCTTGCTTATATTATATGATATGGAGTGAGCACAATGATATATTTGCTGATAGCACCACCTAGGATATTTACTTGAACCTTACTTTGCTTATTCCTTTCTCTAGTAGAGAATTGGTATTGGTTCAAAAAATATATCAGACTGAAGCTTTGTGGTTGAGGGTTGAGAGAAGGCTCTACAAAAACTCCAGGATGTCCCCTGGTTAATACTGAAAAGAATGCTGTTCCTATCGTAGCTTAACGGTATTCTGACACTATGAATACAGGTGAGTGAAAATATTAGAAGGCCATGATTAATATGCAAAGCTCATCATTTAAAACCCATGTTTTGTGCCTTATGAAAATGATGGAATTGGATTAAAAGGAAGGCCACTTAAATTTAGATTTGAACAAATGTGGAGAATGGGTTTTATCATGAAGGGTAAGTCCATGACCACAATGCTGAGCTAAATAAGGATAAACCTTTTAGTTAAAAGTGAGGACAACACCAATAAGAAGAACTTAAAAGTCTCAAAATCTGGTGACCCTGGTGAACCACAGCTGAGCTTTTACCAACTTTAACCAATGCCTTCCCAGGTTCTAAAGCCGGCACTAGAGAAAAGTTATTACCAACTATATCTTTATGGGCTTCAACTTCTTAGGCATCTATCTTTTCTATGTGTGTGACTATGCTGAGGGAAAATCCTGCATGCTCAGATGAAATGAAGGACTTCAGCTTATGCCCACAGGACCTTGTCAAGTAGCCAATGACTTACCCTTTCATTGCGAGTGACTAATACCAATGCTGCTCTAAAGAAAGACACTTTTCATAATCACCCAACAATCTGCTAAGTGAAAACATGTGCACGGGCTTAAGAGAGGCCTGCCAGGGGTCTCTGCTGAATGGGAAACAGGTGCTCACATTCTGTGCCACGTAATACCCCATTTACCCCCAAGTCCAAAGGTTACAGGACTAATAGCTGCCTTTCGGCAACCAGGGAAAGCAAGACATTGGCCCCACAGGAACATCTGGGACATATTTTACATACTTGCAACATATGCTTCAGGTTCAATTAAAGTGAGGCTTTGGCACATTTATTAATCTTCTTTACTTTTATCCTATAAGAGGACCCATTGACCTGACCCCACTATTATACCACATGAGAAAACAGAGAAATAAATGAGAAATAATGAGGGCTAGAGGTCAGTACCTGTTCGTATGGTGAAAAACACATTAGTTTTTTCATGAGATTCCATTACACATGGTTCTACACACAAACTTGAAATGGAGGAACCAATGAAAATTTTAAAGTAGGAAATGACTCTTCTTCCATTCAGACACACTGATAGCTAAGACTTACAATGTGTACTTTGTGAGAGTCAAGCAACAGACAGAAGCTGGTTAATGGACTCCAGCAGGATCCTTCCTCATCTCCAACTTTCTAGTCTAAGAGAGATTCAAAGACTTTTGCAAATTACTCCACTTGAGATTTTCTTTTAGGTTCAGACACTTTTCATACTATCAATTTCAGTATGGTCAAAAAAAGGGAGGACCTCACTTTTACATATTCAAATAAAGGGCTGAGTTATGAACAATAGCTTACAAATGAAAACACACTACTTGCTCATATATCAGCTACAGACTAATAATTCAGTTGAATTCACACAGTAACTGAAGCACCCACTTCCAGTTTACTTTGGTAACTAGATCTGAAAATGTGTTAGAAGTAGGGTGTCAATTTCAGACAGCCAACAGCTGGTTTAATATGTATACAGCTCCTGAGAGTTGGTATTGCCACTCAGATGTGTTTGATCAATATCTGTGTTTGGGTGAGATGGTTAACCAGGGATGTCTATTTGCTGCGTACATTTAAGATCTTCTCTATTAAAAAAAATGAACAAGAAAAGGGAGACACACAATACCAACAAACTGGCTAAAAATGTATGGGTTGGCTTCCAGCAGAGAGACATGGAAGAAGTAGACTTCACTGGGTTTCTATTTATTAGCATTTCTAGGGAAACGCCTGCTGCTGGATGGATCTTTATGTTGGCTTTAATAATAAAGTAGCAACAAGCAAGGGAGAAAAGCCATAAATGGATGGCAGCTCAGTCTTTAGCAGCAGAAAACTGATGATTCAGAGCTGGCATGTTGAGTTAAAGTACAGGCTCTCCACAGCTCTACAACTGACCTTAACAATAAATCAGGCCATTTATTGCCAGGGGTATATGCTCATATTATTTAACTTTAAAAACAAGCGTGTGTGCGTGTGTGTGTGTGTGTGTGTGTGTGTGTGTGTGTGTGTGTGTGTGCGCGCACACACACACGTAGACAAAACATTTCGTTAGGTTATTTTGATCATGATAATAATGAGTGAATGAGGTGCAGGAGGAAAATTTCACATAAAAGCTCTTATCAATTTAAAAGCATTTGAAGCCACGTGAGAGGAGAGCATGGGATAAGCATGTGTGTTCCCACACTACTGAAAACATCCAGTGTGAGTCAGGAAACAAAGATTGTCTGTGAGGTGAAGTAGTAAGTGTGACATTTCTCCCCCTGCGACATTTCAAATGCTTGCTTCCAACACAAATTCTTCTACCTGGGTATAACTGTACATCTGGAGTCGAAGGTCAAGGGCTTAAATTAAGATGCTCTGGTTTTCTTCCTTCAAAAACATCATTGCTTACTGTAACAGCGGTTAGTTTTGGCGGAGGTCAAAATCTGGTTTTGTATGCTAAATAATGTGCAAGTAATTAATACTTTCTCCTCTGCCTCCTTGTCTCATCTTCAGATATGTTAAGTTTTATATTTATAAATGCCCAGAGATCACAATGCTAGAGTTTCTATTTTGCTTGCAGGAGAGAGCTGCTGTCCTAACCCCAGCCACTGCTGTGGTGGTACAAGGTTGTACTAATTTCTCCCTCCCTGCAAGGAAGCACCAACCCAAACAAGCCAGAGATTAGCTGCTGTTTACTGTGGTCACCATCCCCAAGCCAACTATCAATGAAGTGGAAGTCTTTCCAAAGGTGTTTGGTGATGGAGGAGGCATGGGGACATTATAGTCTAGGCAAGGGCAGTGAGCACATGCCCATTTAAATGTCCCCCCAAGCATGCCATACATTCTTTTGCTGAGCAATTCGTTGAAAATTATAGATGACAGTATCCATATCCAACTCACACAGGCTACTATTTTTTTCACACCCGCCCCCTTCCTCCCAAAGCATAGACTGATTTGTAACACTCAAGATAGGACAAATTTTTGCCCTTCAAAAACAGTTGTCACTGCTGTTATCTTCACAATAGCTATCAAGTTTCAGACAAGCTGATTTTTTTTTTCCTGGCAGAAAAATATTTGACCCAGCTCTGGACAAAAGCAGAGAGGATTTATAGCCATTTCTTCCCTTTGCAACACGCAGTGGCATTGTTAGGATGATAAACAGCACTGTCCAATTTTCTGGACTCAAACACTTCAACTCCTTTTTTAACTGTCTGTGAAAACAGTGTCATGTCTGCATTTCCCACCCCCAGGTACCAGCACTGGGAAAGATAATTACCTTGTCATCTTTGTCATCTTCTTCCTCCTCGTCCTCTAGCATGTCCTCCACTACCTGCAGACAGAAACACAGGCTGTTTTTGTGCTCTTAGAGGGAAGAATTTTGTTCTGTCATTTTGAACCCTTTGGAAATGAAAACTTTATTAACATTTGAAACACGTGCTCAGAGAGCTTAAGCTTCACCTAGAGATGAAGATTAGGAAAGTGCTCAGTCTTTAATTGATTAAAGCCAGGGAGCAGAGGTTCAGCCAGGAGAAGCCTGCTCATGTGAAATGTCTGGTGTCAAAGAAGCTGAAGTATGCAGAAGGTAAACTAACATGCATCTGTGGGTTGCTCTAAATCATGAAATTTCCTTCCTAGCTCTTCTGCTGCCCATTTCAATCAGGCATTTTAGACGGAGCGTTGAATAACAAAGCATGAAAGAGTCCTCCTCTTTCTAATTTCTGTTTTGCGCAACTATAAGATAAAAATTATCTCTGCTAATTGATTCACACTGGTGGTCTGTAGCATAAAACTAACAATGAATGTCCTTAATGGCTCAAATTTTCATTCTTATGTATAAAATCATCTCTTGATTGACTTGCTCTGAGTCCCAGGTTCCGATTTTGTGGGTTACCTGAAATATCCTTTTTTATTCTTCATAATTTTTTGTAAGGATCATGAATGTTTATTAAGATTAGAAATATATTTCATAATTAGATATAAATAATGAAGAAATTTTATAGTGGTAAAATGGATACTTTTAAAATATTCTCATTTTACTTTATGTGTATGGGTATTTGTTGAGCCTGTGTATGTGTTTAGTAACCACTTGCATGCCTGGTGCTCTTGCAGGCCAGAAGAGGGCTTCAGATTCCTTGGAACTGGAGTTACAGATGACTGTGAACTGCCATGTGGATGTTGTGAAACAAACCTGGGTCCTCTGGAAGAGCAGCCAGTGCTCTCAATACCCAAGCCATCTCTTTGGTCCCAATATGCATATTTCTAAATGGAAAAATTTTTTTGGGTTTAACAAACATTTTTATTTCTTTGGTCAATATATAATTGTTAGCATAATAAATGTAGGTTCATGAAGCAGATGGCCTACAGGGAGTTTGAAGACTGTAAGGTTACACAGTAACTTCCAGGCCAGCCTGGGTTATAGCATGTGTCTCTGCCTTAACAAATAAACTAGAACTTTACAGTTTAAATAAATGTTTTACGCACGATAACATGTTCATGTATGTGCACTCTGTGGGAACCAAAAATAGAAAACTCCTGGGAGGTACTTTTCAGGGAAGCCTCAGAGGACTATAATTATATAGAACATAAATTCCATATAATTTCTAATTCATATGCTGCTTTTTTCTAATATAGTTGAATGTCTCACAATAGAACTAGTTGAAACACAGTTGTCAAGTACTTTGGAACCTTTTTCAACAAACTTTTGATGATGGCAGCACCAAATCCTTCTTTTGTATGACTTTGTGATACAAAAAGAAACGAAGACACTGTGATGCTGCTGAATTGTATAGACCAAGAAGCTGTGCTAATATTCCCAGGTGCTTTCTCTCAAATCTTCTACGAGCCTGTGACTTTAATGAGTAACTTAAACATAAATTTCCAGTTCTCATGAACCAATTTATAAACAAAGACATCTGAAAATCCCAGAACTGCTCCTAATTTAATGCCATACATTACATCTTTGTTAAAAGTAGGACTTGTGACCTTACTGCTGAACAGTGAGCTCCTTAGAAGGGCCACAGCTGGAAAGTATGTTGCTTGTAATATGTGTTGAGAAGACCCATCATCGGGGGCAAGCAACCCAGTCTCCACAAGAAATCTGCATTCATCATACTTGAGACCTTATTCAAACAGCTGATAAGTATTTGTTATAAACCCCTGGTCCAAGGTGTGCAGTATAGGTAAAGTGTGAACAGAAAGATGAGTAAACACATGGAGACTCCATCAATATTCACACCAACCCTGTAGGAACTATCAGACAAGCCTTCATGTAGGCTTTTAGTTTTCTTCTGTTTGAAGTATTCACATTATAAATATGGAGACAGTGGTGACAATTGTGGTGATGTGTGAATAGAACATTCAAATTGGTTTATTTGTGATAGAGATAAGATTTCATCAAAAGAAGTCACTGAGCCCTCATGAGATTACATTTAAATGACTTTATGTCACAAATAAAAAATAAAATTATCTTATAAAAATTTACATTTAAATAGGGGACTTTATCTTTCTTTTTTTCTTTCTCTTTTGCTAAAATTGGTCATGAAAAGTCATAGTGAATATGAGAAGAAAACAAACTCAAACAGTGCTGAAGCTAGTTTTAATCAAAATGTGTTATTGTAGGGTCACAAGTGGTTGCTTAGTTCATGCAATCCTGTATTCAAGACTCAGGGCCGGAAACAAACTATGTCCTATGCCTCCTCTCCAGCCCCTCATCACACCTCACTTCCAGAAGGCATATGGGACAGACTATGTTTGCATATTGCAAACTACATAGTAGGTGTTACAGAAATATTTTTGGTTTGATTAATAGATAAATTAATCATCTGGCTGTCATATCATTTTGCTTATTTTGTTTTTCTAGAGTCACCTCTCCTGCCTCAGTCTCTCAGGTACTGAAACCACAGGCATGCATCACTGTGCCTGGCTCTGGGTCAAAATATTGGACAAACTCCATTCTATGTAGAGAGATAGCTTGTTCAGCCTAGATACAGGGGTTAGGGGGTGGAGAGGTGCCTTGGTCCTGCATCAATGAGATTATGGTACAGATTTAGTAGACTTCCTAGAGGAGACCTTATGCTCTCTGAGTAACAGATGGGAGCATTTACTTTACTTTTAACTTCACCTAGCTCACTTGGAAAGATACACACACACACACACACACACACACACATATAGTGATGTAGATAAATAAAGGCAAACGATCAAAACTTTTTCAAAGAGTGGCTTGGAAAACGAACCCATCTACATCTAATCATTAAGATTCAGGTATCATCACTAGCAATTAATTTTCAAAATTTCAAAATATGAAAAATAAACAAGCTGCTAGGATAATTTATACATTTTATAAATGATACTGTGTTCAAGTGTGACTCAAGGAGGTCTACAGAGTCGGGCTTCTTTGCAAAAGTCTAACTGTTATTACCCTCCCCTAGTGGGTAATTGGCTCCACGAAATTACTCTACAAATGCGCAGCCAGAACCCCCCAACACAGCCATTTGCTTCTACATTTGGCAGAAGAGTGTTGTACTGTGTGCTACTGAGGGCTTCCCTCCTCAGATGCCTTCGACTGTTAAATCACAGGCACTTACACTTGAGGGTTTATAAAACAGGTGCTGACCAATTCCTGAACATAACACCAGTAGCACAGACACTGAGAATGACAATTAATAAATGGGACCTCCTAAAACTGAGAAGCTTCTGTAAGGCAATGAACACAGTCACCAAGACAAAACAGTAGCCCACAGAATGGGAAAAGATACTCACCAACCCCACATCTGACAAAGGACTCATTTCCAAAATATACAAAGAACTCAAAAAGCTAGTCACCAAAACACCAAATCATCCAATTAAAAAATGGAGTACATTGAAAATTCTCAATAGAGGAATCTAAAATGGCTGAAAGACACATAAGAAAGTGTTCAACATCCTTAGCCATCAGGGAAATGCAAATCAAAACAACTCTGAGATACCATCTTACTCCTGTCAGAATGTCTAAAATCAAAAATACCAAGGACAGACAGTTTATGCTGGAGAGGATATGGGGAAAGGGGAACACTTCTCCACTGCTGGTGGGAGTGCCAACTTGTACAGCCACTTTGGAAATCAGTATGTCCATTCCTCAGGAAATCAGTCCTGGGAATCAGTCTAGCACAAGATGCAGCAATTCCACTGTTAGGCATATACTCAAAAGATGCACATTCATACAACAAGGACATCTGTTCAACCATCTTCATAGTAGCATTATTTGTAGTAGCCAGAACCTGGAAGCAACCTAGATGCCCCTCAACTGAGGAATGGAGGGAGAAAATGTGGTACATTTACACAATGGAGTACTACTCAGCAGAAAAAAAAACAAACAAACAAACAACAAACAAACAAACAAACAAAAAACAGTGGAATCTTAAAATTCGCAGGCAAATGGATGGAACTAGAAGAAACCATCCTGTGTCAGGTAACCCAGTCACAAAAAGACAAACATTAACCTTCATCCAGTAGCTGATGGAAGCAGAAGGAGACACCCACAGCTAAACACTGAGCTGAACTCAGGAATCCAGTTGCATAGAGGGAGGAGTGATGAACAAAGGGGTCAAGATCAGGCTGGAGAAACCCACAGAAACAGCTGACCTGAACAATGGGGAGCTCATGGACCCCAGACTGATAGCTGTCAAACCAGCATAGGACTGTTCCAGACCCCTTGAAAGAGGATGTCAGTTTGGAGGTCTGGGCAATCTATGGGGCCTCTGGTAGTGGATCTGTATTTATCCCTAGTATACGAATAGACTTTGGGAGCTGTCTCCACATAGAGAGATACTCTCTCAGCCTAGACACATGGGCAAGGGACTAGGCCCGGCTCCAAATAATAGGACAGCCTTTGAAAATCTGAAATGGAAGGTCTCACCCTCCCCGGGGAGCAGAAAGGGTATGGGATGGGGGGTTGGTGGGGGGCAGGTGAGGAGGGGAGGGAGAGGGAACTGGGATTGACATAAAAACAAGCTTGTTTCTAATTTAAATTTTTAAAAAAGAAAAAAAAAACAGGTGCTGGTTTCCTATTGATTTCTCTATATAACTTCAGAATGTATCCCACCAGAAAATGTTGTTCAGGTAAAGCTTAGTATACTTTGCAAAATAGTGATGGTTGCAGTCCCTGTCCCACAGTGCTGGCTGAAGACCCAGTCAGGCTATGTATATAAAGTCTTAGCATACTTCCTGTATTGAAACAAGTTCTCAAAAATGTCAGCTAATAATAATGACAAAATGTCAACTGTATCTTTAACATTAATTTTTGGAAATTAAAGTATATCTTTTTTCTGTATTCTGAATGACATAAAATTC